CCTAGAAAGACACAAAACTGGCATGAGGAGAAATAGAAAATCTGAACAGATGTATGTTGCAGATTGAGTGTGTCCCCCCAAAAGATAATGTTTAAGTTCTAATCCCTGGTATTTGTGAATATGACCTTATTTGGAAATAGGGTCTTTGCAGATATAATCAAGTCAAGATGAGGTTACACAGGCTTCAAGTGGGCCCTAAATCCAATGACTGGTGTCCTTATAAGAAGAGAGATTTGAAGTCACAGACACAAACACACAGGGAAGAAGTCCATGTAAAGATGGAGGGAGAAATTGGAGTTATGCTGTCATAAGCCAAGAAACACCAAGGATTGCTGGAAACCAGCAGAAGCTAGGAAGAGGCAAGAAAGGACTCTTTCCCTAGAGCCTAAAGAAGGAGCAGGCCCTGGTGACACCTTGATTTCAGACTTCTAGGCTCTAGAGCTGTGAGAGAATAAATTTCTGCTGTTTTAAGTCCTCCAGTTTATGGTAGTATGTTACAGTAGCCCTGGGAAACTGATATGACCTAGAACAAGTAGAGATTGAATTAGTAATTTAAAAAACTTTGAACAAAGAAAATCCTATGGCTAGATGTCTTCACTGGTGATTTCTACTAGTTTAAGAAGAATTAATACCAATTCTTCACAAACTTGTATAAAATATAAGGAAGAAAGATTTTCTCATTCTGTAAGACTAGTATTTGAAAATCAAAACCATATAAAAGACGTAACCAGAATACTACACACCAATATAAATGCAAAAAATACTCAACAAAATATGAGCAAATAAAATCAAGCAACAATTAAAAACTACTATTCACTGTTACCAAGTGAGATTTATCTCAGGAATGCAAGGTTGGTTTAACACCCTCCCCACCCCAAATCAATTTGTGTAATACAATGTATTAATAGAAAAAGTGGCAGGAAGCACAATCAGTCATCTCAATAGATGCCTCCCCAAAAGACACTTGACCAAATCCAACTTTCTCATGATACTTCAGCAAAGTAGAATAGCAGGAACTCACCCAACCTGACCTGCAAAAATACACAGCTAGCATCATACGTAATTGTAAAAGATTGAGCGGTTTCCCCCTAAAATCAGGAACAGGACACAAATATCTACTCTTTCCACTTCTTTTTGGCATTGTACAAGAGGTTCTAACCTTGACAGTTAGGCAACAAAAAGAAACCAAAGTTAATCCAGATTGTAAAAGAAGTAGTAGAAGTATGTCTGTTTGCAGATGATGATGTTGTTTAAAGAAAATCCTGTGGAATCTACAAAACTATTAGATTTAATAAGCAAGTCCAGCAAGCTTGCAGAATACAGTGTTTTTAAAAAATTAGTTGTATTTCTGTACATTAGCAGTGAGCAGTCTGAACATGAAATTAAGAAAACAGTTGCATTTATAGTAGTATCCAAAAGAGTAAAATAAACGAAAGTGTAATACTTTGTACACTGTCAATTACAAAACATTGTTCAAAGAAATTAAAGAAGATCTGAATTAATGGAAAAGCATCCCATGTTCATGATTGGAAGACTCAATATTATGAAGTTGGCATTATTCCCCAAATGATCTGCACCTTTCCTGTCAAGACCCTAGTTGGGTTTTATTTTTCAGAAATTGACAAGCTGATCCAAAAATTCATATGAAAATTCAAGAGACTCTCAATAGCCAAAACAATCTTGTAGAAGAACAAATTGAGAGGACCCACATTTCCCCGTTTCAAAACTTACTACAAAACTATAATGATCAACATAGTGTGTTACTGGCATGAGGCTAGATACAGATTAATGGGATGGAATTGAGTGCCCAGAAGTAAAGTTTATGGCCAGTGATTTTTCACAAAGGAACTTGGACCCCTTCCTTATACCACACACAAAAATTTAGTGGAAATGGATCATAGATCTAAAAGTAAGTCCTAAAACTATAAAAATTTTTGAGGAAAACATAGTAAATCTGCATGACCTTTGGTCAGCAACCAGTTTTTTTTGGATACAATTCCAAAAGCACAAATGACAAAAGAAAAAATAGACAAATTGGAATTCATTAAAATTTAAAACTTTTGCAGTAGGGGGACTAGCTAAGTGGTAAAGCACATGCTTAGCATACATGAGGCTCTGGATTCAATCCCTGGTAGCTTTGTTAAAAAAATTTTTTTTAACTCTTGTACAGCTTAACTGTAGCGTCAGTGAAGTGTTGGAAAGCTCACAGACAGGAGAAAATATTTGCAAATTATATATCTGATAATGCACTTGTATCCAGAATATATCAAGAATTCTTGCAGCTCAACGCTAAAAAGAAAAATAGCCCAATTAAAAACTGGACAAAGCATATGAGTATACATTTCTTTGAAGGAGGTATCTGGCCAATAAGCACATGAAATGATGCTCAGTATCATTAGTCATTAGAGGAATGCAAATCTAAATCATGAGATACCACTTCTTATATATTAGGATGGGTGTAATCAAAAAAATAACAAGTGTTCATGAGTATGTGGAGAAATTGGAACCCCTCATTGCTGCTGGGAATATAAACTGGTACAGCTACTTTGGAAAATGGTTTGGCACTTCCTTAAAATGGTAAACATAGTAAACATATAATCCAGAAATATCACTCCTGTGTATATATCCAAGAGAAATGAAAATATACATCCACACAAAAACTTGTAAGCAAATATTAAAAGTAGCATTATTCATATCATAGTGGACAAAAAGTAGAAACAACCCAAATGTTCATCAGTGGATGAATGGATAAGATGTTGTTTATCCTTACAATGGAGTATTATTTGGCAGTAAAAAAGAAGTCCTGATATGTGCTACAACTTGGTTGAACCTTAAAAACATTATTCCAGGAGAAATAAATCAGTCACCAAAAAACCAAATATTGTATAATTCCATTTCTGTGCAATTTCCAGAGTAGATATGGCTTATAGAGACAAATATAGTGGTTGCCTAAGGTCTAAGGAATGAGGGTGTGACTGTTAAATGGGTACAGGGCTTCCTTTTAGGGTACAGAAATGTTCTTAAGTTAGATCATGGTGATGGTTCCATACCTCTGAATATACTTTAAAAAGCATTGAGTTTTACACTTTAAATGGTACATGAATTGTACAGTGTGTACCATACCTCAGTAAAACTGTTTAAAAACAAAATAAGTAAGTGTGACTATAATTAACATGAACCAACTAAAAGTAGGCTGTGTATTTCACAGTACAGGCTGATTAAACTGGTAATTTTTGATTCAAAAAAGAACATGTAGCAACTGCCTTAGTGAACACTAGGTTAGTTACTGTGTTGATTTATATTAGAAAGTGGCCTGAATGCTACATTAAACATAGTTTAAGTATAAATTCTATATTCAAAGTCTGACTAAACTGAGTGAATGTAGGACTAAGGACTTGTAAGTACAGCTTATGCCATGGAATGTCTGATTTTTAAAAATCAATAAACAATGAAATGACATTAAAGTATAGTACAAATGAGAATTATTGAGCTCTTTAATACTTGTTCCTAATACATTTTAATTGTTAAATCTGTATCAAAATTTGTGATTTGGTTTTAAAAGTTACTTTCTTAATAATTTATTTAATGCATAGAAGAGAATGTTGGCAAATACACCTATAATAAAGGTGTTTGTAATGATTCATAACTTAAAATATTTTGTTTAAAGTTTTTTAATATTATGTGGCAAACAATATGTCTTATATGGAAATGTTAAGGGACTGTCGTTTCAGTTTGAGTATACAAGAGAATTCATATTAAATATTTACAATATGTAATTGAAGTTAAATGTGTCTTTGCAAAATACATATTTTGGTTGTGCTGTTGACATAGTTTGGGTGATGGGGAAATCATAGAAAACTGATTGCAGTTATCATTGAGTATATTTAAAATTTGAGGGGATATCGTTTTTGGATTGTAACATGCTTTCAGTGTCTTATTTACTATTCATTGTGCCAGTGTATGTCCCGTTTTCTTATTTAGAGCACTTCTAAGTTTTTCATGATATAAATAAATGCATGTGTTGATACATTGCAGTGACATGAAGTAAATGATATGCACTTGAACTTGAGGAAGTCTTAAAAAATATACGTTATTTTTCTTTATAGTCTTATTTTTTATTATAGGTTTTTATAGTCTTATTTTTTACTGTCATAATTTTCTGTTTATTTATTAGCTACAAGAGTGGAAATAAGTACAAAGCATTGTCAACCTAGTCCAGTGCTCCTATAGTCTGAGTGTATATTCTGGGAGTCTCTGGGATGAGTCTAATGTAGTATCTTGAAACTTTTTGATCAGGACCCATATTTTTATATTGAAATCATGTTTAAACAAATATATATAAGATACAGAAATGTTTACCCTTAAGATACTGAACTGTTTAACCATTACAACATACAATGCACTCTGTTTTTCAGTTCTTTTCTACTAATGCTAGTTTTGACCTATTAATTTCAAAACCCACTAAAGATTTGAAAGCTACTGTTTGTAAAATAGTACTGTCAGGATAGAATTATGAATTCAGATACATTCTTTTTGAGTTTTCCCTCCTAATGACCTTTTAAAAATGTTTGTTTTGTGTCTGGAGAAAACAGATACTAGGAGGGCAAACAAGATTCTCAAATGAGATTTGGTGTTTAAGGTATCTTTTTGTCTGAGTTGAGTTGTCTATGAACCAGTGCTATAGTGTAATAAGAACCGATATGTTTGAATGATCAAAGAAATATTCCCCCTGGTAATTATGCTTAAAGTTAACCTATAAATTTAAACAAAACTCCATCAAAAATATGGATAAAAACCACTCAAAGCATATTTTTATATTCACTTTGCTTTTATACTTTTGTGGAGTTAAATATCCTGATTTGAAGTTTTAAAATATTTTAATTGTATTTAACGAATTTATATTATCTGTTATTAACATTTGTCTTTGACTTTGGATCTGTGCTTTTAATATTGAATGGGGAAAAATTTTTGTGCAAATGTTTCACCAAATATTTTTGCAGGGACACTTAGTCGGTCTGGATGAACCAGCTTCGGGAGCTGGGCAAGAAGCTCTGCTTAAACAAGAGCAAGCAAAAATCATTCGATTCGAGAGACAAGCAGAAGAGTTCCTCAATGCAGTCTTTTATAGAAAAGGTTGGTTCTAGTGAAGAATGACATTTAGCATCTGCTTGTCTTGTATTTATCTCTTTAATTTCAGTGTCATTTTTAAAAAGAGTTACTTTTAAAAATATTTTTCTTTATAGATTATATACTTTATAATTCTCTATATTCCTTTGGTCGAATTAAATTTGAAATAGCCTTGTTTTCTAAAGTTTTTTAAATTATTAAAATTAAAGAAAAATTTACTATTACATAATAAAACTTTCCCACATACATTTGAGGTAACTTATTTAATAGCTTTACCTCTTATATTTTTCAATTTATCTTTCTCCATGAAACTTTTGTAGGTTTCTTTTATATTTCTTTTCTCTATCCACAAAGCATAATTGCTATCAACCAGGACCTTTGGGAAGCTTCCCTTCATGTTCATCGTAGTGAAGTCTTTACCTTCAAGAAAATTCTTTCCTAATGAATTTATAGTCCTTAGTTATGCCAATCCTCTAGTTCCAAGATGGAGGGTACTATGATAGGTGCTAAAAAAATTTTCTACAAACTCCTGATAATGCTGAATATCCCTGCTTAATCTTCAGCAGACTCATTGATTCCACTTTCTTTAATGTTTCTTCCTATGTTCTTGTTTATGCCTCTCATTCCTCTGGAAATTCCCTCCCTCCTTCTGAAGTTTGAAGGGTAATTTTTGCCTGTACATTAGTTAAAAGTCTGATAAATGCAGATTCTAATAGGTTGATTACAGTTGGGAGACCAGCTGAGCTTCTGCTTAATGTGATCGATATTTTCAAATGGGAATATAAGGTAAAGTATCATAAAATTAAGGAATGCACAAGAATTTTCTTTTCAGAGGCACTTTTTTCCCTTCCATCAGATCCCTAGGTAGAATTAAATCTTTTAGTACCTCTTCATTTTTCTTTTGTATCCTTTAATACCCTCTGATCTAAAGCTCCCAGCTGAGACTTCCATGCTTGCCATATCACTTCCATAAAATACCCTGATTTCAAAAGTCTGTTCAAAATAGTTTTATGAACAGTTGATTGTTTTAAATTAATTCACATGTATACTTTAGAGTATAAATGATTGCTAGATCTGTTTCTGTCAGTTTATTAACTAAATACAGTATCTTCCCAGCTCTTCTGCTGCTCTTCTTTAGGATGTGTACTGAGTCATGGGTCTAATGCTGCAGGAAACTTGATTATCTGGAGAGGAACTCCTCTTCCTAATTTACGTAGAAGAACCACTTTTCATTTACTCTTTGCTTAGGGGGAGTTAATGAGGTTAATCACAGCAGATTCCTGAGGAGAATTTCAACCTGCTTCTCTGCTAGTGCCATCTCTTTGTCATGTAGGGATAACTTAGGTTAATGTTCCTACAGGTTTTCTTACTTAGAAATTAAATTTGGGGGCACATGACTTTCGTGGGGAGAATTCTTACCTTGAAATCAATCTTAGGATAGACTTTGAGAGATGAGAATCCTCTGAAATTGTATGTAAAATTTGTGTATTTGTCTGTATACTGGCATATGATGCTCAGAAAAAGAACTGTTGCTTTGCAATTGGAAGTTCCCCCTTTATGTATTAATATTGTTATTTGTAGATATTTTATTAACCCTCTTGGAAATGTCTAAAAGATAGACATTACTAGTCTTCAAATTAACACCAAAAATGTTCAGTATCCATAGAGATGACAGGCAGTTTAATCTGAAGGGAATATTTTGTTTTTAATAAAAAATTAAGATATTTCAATTTATTGGTCTTTTGTTGCCAAGTATTGCAAATTGTGTATTTTAAATAATTGAATGTGAAAAGGTTATATGTAGCTAGGTGGAAACATAGATGCAATAAGAGCAGGCTTTTGTGGTATAGACTCCATAATAAATTCCTCTTTAAGAACGGTGTGCCTTCTATAACTGTCATGATCATTACTTTTCAGCTTGCTTTGTCACTTGTGTCAGAAAATTTGACACTTTTCTAAAAGTTAGGTTTGCATTTTTAAAACATACAGGTGGCTATGATGTAGCATTTACATGTTTTTCTTACTTTTAATTTTGACCCGATTTGTTTTTTTATTTGACTCAGTTGTGCATGTTTCCCCTAAGCGTGACAAGGTTTATAGATGTAGTGTTTTAAGTAAATAAAAGAATGAAATGTGCTTAAGAAACTTTCAAAAGATGTAGAAATTCAAATGGCAGAGATGTGATCGGATCATAAACATGAATTGTGTTGCATAATTGTGTAAGTTATTCAACAAAGAGGCAAAAGACACTGCAAGCATTTAAAACTCAGTGGTAGGAATTCATGATCTTTATCCTAAAATCTCTGACTCTTCACAAAACTCTTTAATTGTATTTACTAGTCTAGTTAAATAGAGACATTCTATAAATGAATTCATATTGCTTCCTATTTGGAAGTATTCTTTTTTTATGTATTACATACTCCAGCATTTTAGGGGGTAAAAAGATACAGGGATGTATTAAAACTTGAAATTATATAGTCTTTCATTTGGCGGGTTATAAGCTGTGTAAGAAAAAAAAATGGATGTAACATAGGAAGTTAAATGATTATGAATAAGAAAACCCAGTGGGTAGAGAGATTGAAAAAAGGAATATCTGACTAAAATGTTTATTAAAACATTCAAGGAACCATGGTTTGCGATTGTAGTAACTTGTGAACCTTACCTACTGAATACCTTTATTCCTAAACCATCTAGCATACTCATGGTCTCTATTTATAGAGAGGCAACTTAGGGTTAAAAATACTTCTTAGTAGAACAGAAATGTTATTATTGGTAGAGCCAACCTCAAACTCCAAAAAATTAAATAAAATTTAATTTGTCCTTCAGAAAAAAAAAAATTGTTCTTGGGAGTCTTGTGTGATTTTAATGATGTTTGTTTTTTGTGATATTAACAGTAATTAGTCAGTTTTCCTTTAAATTTATAAATCAAAGTTCCTTACAACTCCAAAATATTATGAGTAAAGTAATTGACCTTCTATAGTTAATATTTAAAAGACCAAGGAAGCTGAGATTTTCTGAGATCCGTCTTCTAAAGCCTCAAGAGTGTGGTAGGGAAGTATAATGGTCACAGGTGGAGCATTAAGATCAGGGGGAGAGTTTTAGTCAGGGGTCTGTCACCAACCATCTGTACAGATTTGAAGAGGTTCTTACTCTTCAAACTATTTGCTAATTGATTGATCCATTTATTACTCAACTAATATGAATTTATACTTTACACCAAGATTAGGTGCTTCGTGTATAGGGGTAATCTCTGCTATCAAAAAGCTTTTAGTCTCCCTGATAGTGTGTTAATGACAGAGATGTGATGGGATATGTTTATACAAAACATTTTCCCTTTTATTTTACCTTCAAGGTCCCTTCCAGTACTGAAAGTTCTATGAGTTAATGAATTCATATTGTCTTTATTTTTAAATTAACATTGATTAGAAATTGATAACTTAGATGTGTATTTCATTACTTCCCTGTTTATTGTGTTTAATGTTGGCAGAGTGTATGTAAAGAACTTGTGGGAAAATACGGTCTTAGGCTTTAGAGATTTGCCATTTAAACTCCTGACCCAGGAGTTCTGAGAATATGGTCCCCTGACCAGCAGCATCTGGAAACTTGTTGTAAACGCCAGTTCTTGAGCTCACCCTAGAACTGCTGAATCAGTAACTCCGGGGATAGGACCCAGCAGTCTGTTTTTATAAGCCCTCAAAGTGATTTTGATTAACATTGAAGTGTGACTACTATTGCCCTAGTCTATCATAGATCTTAATATTAATTATCTCCTTTTGTAATCTTGGTATGCTTTCAGTCTTTAACAGCAAATTAAGCCCTCATGAACTGAGCATTCCATTCTTCAGTAATTTAGGAAGAGATGGCTCAGGAAAAATCTAGGGGAGACCAGATGTGATCTATAGGTGGTAAACAGGGGAGTAATTATTTTCATAAAAGAAGGGTTTTGGGATTTCTGTATCAGGTAAGTGACTGTTGCCCATAAGATAAAATATTTGTTATCCCTTTATTTGACTTCATAATCGAGGGCGGGGATGGTGTTTAGGAATAATTTTATTAAAATTATATTTTTAAAAATCTGCAACTTTTATAAGCCTAGAGATTAAAAATATAAGAGGGAATACTATTTTTAGGATACTGCATTTTAAGAGAAAAATAAAATGAAATTCTGTTTGCTTGAAAGCTGTCTCTTTTTAGTACATTGTCCCACTTTAAAAGTAAATAAATCTTTGTTTACAGACAGTCCCTGGGTCTCCGACCCCAATATCCCCCTAGTGGCCCGTGAGATCATGCAGCGAATGATCCAACAATTTGCTGCTGAATATACCTCAAAAAATAGCTCTACTCAGGACCCCAGCCAGCCCAATAGCACAAAGAACCAAAGCCTGCCGAAAGCATCTCCAGTCACCACCTCTCCCACGGCTGCAACTACTCAGAACCCTGTGCTCAGCAAACTTCTCATGGCTGACCAAGACTCACCTCTGGACCTTACTGTCAGAAAGTCTCAGTCAGAACCTAGCGAACAAGGTATGGTTTGATGTCAAGATATCTCCTCTGTCCAATAAGTATACTTTTAATTTGGGGAGAAAAAAATTATTGGCAAGTAGGGCACCAGTAACACTAATAGGATAAAAGCTAATGTGATTCTTAAATTATTCCTGACTTTGCGGTGATAGAGAAGTACAAATAAAGTAGTGACCTTACCCATCAGTAGTTCATAGTTACATGATTGAACCAGGAAAGTTAGGTGGTTACAGTTGTTACTTGATATTTATGTAAGCATTTTACACTTTCCAAAGCATTGTCATATCCATTGTTTTTAAAAGCCCTTTGAAAGTTAACTTTTCCCCCTTATGCCATCAGTGTTTAGGATCAGCACCTATCTGAGAAATAAATATGTCTTGTTAGATAAAAGAAGGTATACTCTGCAAATAAGATCATAAGGCCAAAATATGTGTTATTTGCATTTTTAAAAAAGAAACTCACGGGGTTAGAAATAATGAGACAACAGTAGACACACTTCAGGTTATTAACTGTAGTCAGTATTTTATAAATATACAAATACATACATGCACTATATTACAAGCTAATTAGGGTATTTTCAAAAGGTAATCTGTTAGTGAGGAGGATCCTAGTTAAGTGAAGAGGTTTAGAGGGTATCAGTTTTGCTAAGCATATACTTCTTGAGTATTTTAAAAGTTATTCTCTTAAGATTAAATATTACAGTTTTGTGATCTCATTTTACCTTTAATTTCACAAAAATGAAGTGAGCATTTCAACTCTGCCACTCTGAACCACTACAGATTATTAATTGATGAATTAATTGGTGATGTCTGTACTAATGAGATTTTATTGCCATAGAAATCTCCTAAGAGTGGATTTATTGGTGAGAAATATGTTTTTATATTGCAAAGTAAATAAGTTTAATTCTTATAAGAAACTCTGAAATGACTTTATTTTGCTTATTGTAAGTGTATGAAGGAATGACACTTAATGGACTGGCTTTAGTTGCTTATTAAAGAATATTTTTTTGAATAGTTTTCGTTTGCCTTAACTCTCTGTGTAGTGAATAGCAGTCAAAATCTCTTAAGTTCTGAAAGTGGGGATATAGCTTAGTGGTAGAGGGCATGCTTAGCATATCTGAAGTCCTGGGTTCAATCCCCAGTGCCTCCATCAGAAAAAAAAAACCCCTCTAAGTTCTGAGAGATCTCTTAGCAGGAGGCCTCCTAGTTGTCCAATGTTCATATTGATTAGTATATCTTTGGTTACCATGTTTGTAAAGTTGTTCTCTTCTATTTTATTGAGGATTGTTTTCTTTACCACAGATTGGTAGCTTTCATTAAAAATCTGTTTGCTTTAAATATTGCATTACAAGCTTCAGTTTTACAGTAGAATAACAGCATAGAGGTTGTATCTAAAATATTAATGATGGAGGTTAACATACAAAGATACAAGTTTATTTAGTCTAATTTAACTTCTTATAGCTAGTGTTATGCTTGAGGTATGTTGTGTTGACAGCGTGGTCTTACCAAGAGAAATTTGAACCAGACGATAAGAGTATAGTATAGATTTCAAATGAACCAAAAATTTTAAAATAGTATTTCCCAATGAATTTTAATATGTTTTCAACTTAAATCACAGTATTTTTCAGGGTAGATTTAAGTTATGTTGCCTGTTTGATTAGACAGGCCTAGGAAATAATAACTGTCTCTGGTTGGAAATATTTTAAACAGTGCATTTGCTTGTTAGGTATCTAATTGGGTTAGGTGTCTAAAAGGATACTTGGTTCTATAAGATTACAATTATATTTTTAGAAACATTAGTGACTCTAAAGGACAACAGTTACTCTGTATGAGTGTGGGCTTTTTTTGGTTTATGAACTCAGTTGCATATTTATTTCTCACAGCCTGAAATAGAGAGTTACAGTGTCCCAAATGGGTTTTATATTGGAGTGGTTTTTAACATAACTAGGTAGCCGGCTTCTCTGCTAGCCAACTGAATATCAAAGGCATTGAATGTTACCTTGCTCTGTTAATTTTGGACAGAATGGCAGCTTTGAAAGTTATCTAGACTTTGAATTTTCTTTTCTAGACTTGTGTATGAGGGGAAAAAAATCTTTCGGGGGAGAAGAAATGTTCTAATAACATGAATTTGTTATTTGGTCTAGCTTCAGTTTAAAAAAAAAAGGTTACCCTGCAAGGCTCCTTTCAGTATCAAGATGTTTCATTTTTCTTTCTTTCCTTAAACTTTGCCTTTATAAATATCAACAAGTCGATTTTGAAGCCCTGCTGATTTTTCCCAAAAGGTTGAATCCAAATTTAGTTTTTTGCAGATGTATCCAAAGAGTAATTAGGACACATGCAAATTATAAACAGTTAACAACTGATTCATCTTACATACTGTCTTATATAGTATATATGTTTACTATAACCATATAAACTTGTTTACAAAATATTTTTGTATTAAAATTTTCTAAATCCAACTCTCACATACTCTTAGTGTTTCAGGTAGACCTACTAGCTCTTGAGAAATTTGATTTTTATAATTTGTCTGACATTGTGGCATTGAAAACTCATGCTTTGATCAAGGTAAACTTGAGTAAATGACATAGTTCTGTTGCAGAACCTCATACTATGTAAACTGCCATTTCTAGTATCTCACTATATCTTAATATCTTTAGTGTTATGCTCTACCTTTTCTTTTGCCTTATTAATAAAATATTTAACCCTTGGAGATATTAGATATACGAGACTTTGCTAAATTTATGTCACTTCAGAAGAAAAAATATCCTGATCCTATTAATGAATTGGTTTCATAACTCAAAATATATGGCTAATTTTATCTGCTTAGTTGACTAGGCCTACTGCATTGTCATTTTTAGCCTATTCAGTTCATATTTGCTCCCAGTTTTTAATATCCTCAGGTGTTTCTTTGTGTCTCTACAGACGGTGTACTTGATCTATCCACTAAGAAAAGTCCATGTGCTGGCAGCACTTCCCTGAGCCATTCTCCAGGCTGCTCCAGTACTCAAGGGAACGGGTAAGGGAAAATATTTGTGGCCTTCCACAGTTTTATAGGAGACAGTTTATCAGATACTGAGTCCAATCTCCCTTGTATGTTTTAAAACTTAATTTTTCAGAGTAACACTCTTATTGGTGGGCCTTTAGTGAAGTTACGTTTAGTCTATCAATCAAGTAAAAGCACAGTCTGTGAAATCTAGAGTTGACTAGTATAGGTCAGTTTTGCCAGTTTAGTACAAATAGTAAGTAATCAGGAATATGGCAGGAATGTCTTTGGGCCTTTTGTTGTTGAGTATTTGGGAGTGTGAAACCCAACTTAAATAATTTCAGAGTTCAGATGTAAAGGCAATATTATGTGTGCTGAGGTTGTTGAATGAGAATTGGGTTCTGGTATGTAACTTGGTATCTCTAATGGAGTTGGGGCTGTTCGCTTTTTTCTTGTTTGTTTTGGTTTTGTTTTGTTTGCTGATTTGAACTGCAGTTTTAACTCTGTGGCAGTTCAGAAAATAATTGTGTGTATTTTTTGTTTTGAATTGGATAAGACTGGTTGTAGATGTTGGTAGATAACCGTCTTATGCTGCCAAGACATTACATGCTCAGTTTTGATAACTCTTAGACTAAAGTGAATTTTCTGTTTACCTAGTTTTTTATAAGTGTAAGAATTGTCTAATTCTCTGTCCATGTGTACATAGTAATCATTTTTAGAGGTCAGGTAGTAATGAATATACTTAGATGCCATATTGGGAAGGCATTTCCATAAAACTGTGTTGTGACCAAAAATCGGCTTCATCTAGATATGAAAAATAACTTTAGTAAATTAATTAATATTTAGGTTTATTTAGTTTTTAGAATGTCAACATGGGGAAGTAGTTTAGATATTTAAGGAGTAAGTAGACACTAAATGGATTAACCTTATTCAACTTAATCTTAATTTCCTTCAAATTGAAGGATTCCTTCACTGATTTCTAAAATGCTCCTTTATTTTCTCTAAAATTCCATCATCTTCCTTTTTCTCTCATCCTATATTAGGTCTAGAATAACTTATTAATTTAATCTATTTTGCATAGTTTGCTAATCTTTTTTTTCTTAAGTGCTTTTTTTCACCATAGTTCAAACTAGATATAATTCATCATGATCCCAAATCATTGGGTCCATTTAGGTATCAAAAAACTTGAGTTGCGTAATCAAGGGCACATGTAGGAGAAACCTAAGTGCTGTTTGCAATAATGAATCCCTTGCATAAGATTCACTTTAAACTTGACCACCAGGTCCATGTATTAAAGGGTTGAAATTGTTGGATTTGTCCATCTGAATGGAAAGTAAATATTTTCCTTGTGGTAGTGTTTTCTGGAAGACAAAAGCATGGGTAGTACTGTCCATGTTTTAGTTGAATTGTTATCCATATTATGTTACTTACTGATAAAAGCAAAATCCCTATAGACCTTTGGAAAACATAGCTGGTTTATCATTATTTCTGCAAAGTTCCACTTTTGTGCCTAGTTACCGTAATTATTCCCCTTGGGCATGCTTTAGCAGTTGTCAGTTTTACCCATTGATAATCTTTATAGTGAAAATGAAAACTTAGGAATTAACTTTGTGCAAGTAGTTGATTTTTTAAACATTATTAAAAAGCTATCTGCTTAAAATTTCAAAATTGATATTTGGTATTTTAAGAAGAAAAGCTTTTTTTTAACTGAAGAACTCTGCTAAAAATCGTTTATATACCTCTGACAGTAATTACTTTGAGTAGAACTTAAACAATGTTTTGGGGGAAACAAAGGGCAGATTCTTTAAAGCTTGGATGATTTCAAATGGAAAATCAGTGGTACTCATGTATCTGCAACTAATGTTTTAAAATGAAGAACTGTGGTAAGTTATAATTCTTCGATGGGTGTTTTGGTTTGGGTTTTTTCTCCCCCTTGGGGCTGGTAGCCAAATCTTTTTTTCCTAAGCAAAATAAGATGTTATTTGGTGTTGTTTGATTTTTTTTATAATGAACATCAACTTGTTTGTGGGATAAATGAGCGATTATCTATGGGTTCCATCCACCAATGTAAAGTGTTCCAATTTTATAGCTGGTTGTCATGAATGTTGTCTATGTTGCATTAAAATAAATAATTTGGCTTACTCTTTTATTACTGTACTTGTTTAGTGGTAACGTCACATTGGTAACACAATTCTTTGTAGATCTACGGAGACTTGATGATTACTTTGTAATTAATAATTAAGGTGCTATTTTCAAACAGTTGCGCGAAACTTTTTCTCCGAAAATTTGTGAACCCAACCAGAGACCAGCTGACAGGTTTAATTTTTCTTTGCCCAAAAGCTTCTGGGTTTTTTTTTTTTCTTTTTTCCTTTTTCCTTTTTTTTTTCTTTTTTTGTGAACAAGTTTAAAACTAACTGCTGAGACCTTTTTTTTTTTAATTTTAGAGAAAAAATAAATAAATAACACAAAGTGATGTTACCCAAGCAAGGCCTTCTAATAAAGGAGTGGTCCCCTCACCCATCCCTCCCTACCTGTGCAAGTCCTGCTCACATCAGTTTCCTTCCATCCAATTAGGCGACCTGGGAGACCCAGCCAGTACCGCCCAGACGGACTTCGGAGTGGTGATGGGGTACCTCCAAGAAGCTTACAGGATGGAACCAGGGAAGGTTTTGGACACTCCACATCACTCAAAGTTCCATTGGCTCGATCCCTGCAGATTAGTGAAGAACTACTGAGCAGAAACCAATTGTCCACAGCTGCCAGCCTTGGGCCATCTGGATTACAGAATCATGGACAACACTTAATATTATCCAGGGAAGCCTCTTGGGCAAAACCGCATTATGAGTTCAACCTCAGCCGTATGAAGTTCAGGGGAAATGGTGCACTCAACAACATCAGTGACCTTCCTTTTCTTGCAGAAAACTCTGCCTTTCCAAAAATGGCACTTCAAGCAAAACAAGATGGGAAAAAGGATGTGAGCCATTCATCTCCTGTAGATTTAAAGATACCACAAGTTCGAGGAATGGATCTTTCTTGGGAATCTCGCACTGGTGATCAGTACAGCTATAGCTCTTTGGTAATGGGTTCACAAACGGAGAGCGCGCTTAGTAAAAAATTAAGGGCTATTCTTCCAAAACAAAATAGAAAAAGCATGTTAGACGCTGGACCCGATTCTTGGGGCTCAGATGCTGAGCAGTCTACCTCTGGACAGCCATATCCCACATCGGATCAAGAAGGAGACCCTGGCTCCAAGCAGCCTCGGAAGAAAAGAGGGCGTTACAGACAGTACAACAGTGAGATACTGGAGGAAGCAATCTCAGTGGTTATGAGTGGAAAAATGAGTGTTTCCAAAGCTCAGAGTATTTATGGGATTCCCCACAGTACACTGGAGTACAAAGTAAAAGAGAGGCTGGGCACTTTGAAAAACCCTCCAAAGAAAAAGATGAAATTAATGAGGTCGGAGGGGCCAGATGTTTCTGTAAAGATTGAATTAGATCCCCAGGGAGAGGCAGCACAAAGTGCAAATGAATCAAAAAACGAGTAGGAATACTGTAGAGTGCCAATTACTGTACAACTGGGTGAGCACTACTGCATTGTTCAGCTGTCATTACTTGCACCTAACTCCATTTACTGTGACACTTGTTCCTTTGCAGAATTTGCATTGACTTGTGTGTACAGAGGTGAAAGGTGCATTCTGAATGTTGCATATTTTTAAATTTTCATGTGCAGTATGGCTCAATATATTGTTTGGCCTTTTGCATGTTTCTCTACAAGAGAGAATTGAGTTACCTCACAGAGAACAGATACATGGAAGTGGACTCCTTGCCTGTAGAGCCTGCATGATTTTCTTTCTGTTTCTTAAGTTATATTTGCCTTTATTTTTAAAAGAAGGAAAAAAGGAAGAAAAAGCCCCCTTTTAGAAACCACCTCTATCATATTGGGAGCTTTATCATTGCAAATTGGGAAGCCGTCTTACAAAATTATTCACATTTTTTTCTTCTGAGATTCAACTCATTGGAGGATTAAAGAAACTAAGAACAATGAACCTTTGAATTTAAGAAATTTGATAAATAATTATTTGAGTCGATTAACATTTTATGATTTTCTTCTCACTATTCAATCTACTTAACAAATTAGCAATCTATTTAGTGCTCACCCAGAGGGAGAGGAGGTGGAAAATGTGCACACACTACCTTCAGAAATGCTTCAGTTAATTACTTTGTAACACTACCTTTGCTGTAATTTCAGTTGGGATTTTCTAAGGGTAGAATTGGTCTCACCAACAAGTGAGGATATAGCCTTATCTCATGGAGGACGAGCTCCGTTCTTACTCAGGAGCAGTCAGGGTACATTACATAAAACAGTAGAGGATGCCTCATTTTAGCAAACTAAGTTTCTTTATATTCTTAAATCCATTTACAGATTTGATCATGTGCTAGCTAATAACCGAATGTCATTGCAGCAACTAGTTTAAAATATCCAAGATCTGTTATTGGGGGATGAGAGAAATAGGGGGAAAATGTGTATAAATAATTATAATATTGCAAAAGTGGTATCTAAATTTTATAGCCTCAGTAGTCTGCTCAAATATCCACATAAATGAAGAGTCTATGTTTGTGGCAAGAGAAAAAACCGCAACCCCAAAGTAACCTAATATGATTTAGGTTGCGTTTCAGTTCTGACAGAAATTCAATCAGAAATCAGGCTTATTAGAGATTTCTTTTTTAACTAATCCAGATACTAGTACAAGGGTCGGGAGTGGAGTTTTTTAGTTTTTATTTAATTTGTTTCTTTGAACTTTTTTTTTGTTTGCATCCTACATAATATCCCCTTCGTAACTTGTTCTGATATTTAACTCATTTTTATGGCTGTTTAGCACACAGTTCAGGATCTTTCAGATCGTGTTTGTATAAGCACTCCTTGAAGAACATCTGAACTTTTTTTTTGAGGTGGGCTTTTAAAGTTACAGTAACAAGGTTTGGGATGTTTATTTTCTCTACTTCTTTTGTGAGAATAGCAGATAAATAAAAGCC